AGAGAGAGAGAAGAGAGAAAGGGAAAGAGAGAGAGGGAAGAGAGGAAAATAGAGAAAGATACCAAAAGAATAAGAGGCAAGGGAAGAGCACAATACAAACAACGTACTCTTCGCATCACATTCCCTCGCTTTACATACGGGGACATAAATAAAACCCGATGAATAACAAAAAGCTATAAAAACAGGAATAGCGAACCGTCAACCTTTCGCTAATGAAGACACTTCGCTACGCATTTCATCGGATAGAAATACGCTTTAATTCATCCCGCAAGGAATATAAAAACCGTTTGCAATTAGTTTCATATAAAAGACCCTTTTTCCAGCGATACCGAGAAAGAGGCCCGGGAGGTTGTCGGCGAGAGAGAAACAGATCTATTTTCTCCCCCTTATCCGATCCCGAGAAACCCACCTCGAGGAGCGCACGCCGGTCAAAGCGACACAAGAAAGCTCCCAAAATGTAATGGAACTAATTTGCTGTTGTGTACGAGGCCTATTACGCCAAAGTTCGCCCTTTTCCCCGTCCGCGCCCGGTTTGAATAGCGCGCCAAAACTCGCCCGAATTCCTTTCCTTGTTGCTGATTGGCTACGGTGGATGGAGGGGGAGGGGCCTGGGAACCCGGGGTAACCAGAGGGGCGATTGTGGAAGGAAGACTGCAAGAAAGGGGGGGAGAGGAAGAGGGAGAAGGGGGGGAGGAGGAAAGGGAGTAACAGGGGGTTATTTGTGATTCGGAGTTGGGGTATTCAAGGCAAGGGGAGGGGGGGGGAGGGGGTTGTGTGATGGCGTTTGTGAGGTAGTTTTTAGCATTTCCGGTTTGGTTGTGATGCAAGGACGATGTTGTGAAAGAATGGGTGCTGTTTGGTCATGGGCTGTCGCGATAATTTTGTCCGTTGGAATTCGAAAAGGAAGGGAAAAAAGATGTAGACGACTTGTAGATGTGTATATATCTCAATCTATCCAGCTACCTCTCTCTACCTACCTATCTACTATTTATCTCTATCTATATCTATCTATCTATCTATCTATCTATCTATCTATCTATCTATCTATCTATCTATCTATCTATCTATCTATATCTACCTATCTATCAATCTAACCTACTACCCTCTATCTATCTACCTACCTATCTATCTTCAATCTATCTATACCTACCTACTACCTATACTATCTATCTACCTATCAATATCTCAATCTATCTACCTACCTACTATCTATACCTATCCTATCTACCTACCCTATCTCTATCTATCTATCTATATTTTCTTCCTACAAGGATATTCACTTCTACTATCTATCTATCTATCTCTACCTACCTATATCTCTTTATCTATCTATTTTTATCTTATCTATCTATCTCTCTACCTACCTACCTATCTCTTTATCTATCTATTTTTCTTCCTACAAGGATTATTCAGTCCTACCTACCTATATCTATCTACCTACTTATCTACCTATCTCTATCTACCTATCTCTTTATCTATCTATTTATCTATTCTTTCCTACAAGGATATTCAGTCCTACCTACCTATCTATTCCCTACTATAATCTAGCTATCCATCCTTCTACCTACCTATCTACCTATCTATCTATACTCACCTATCTATCTACCTACCTACCTATCAATCTATCTACCTTCTCTTTATCTATCTATTTATCTATTTATTCCTACAAGGATATATCACACCGAAATATTTCCCGAATTTCGTTCCAAAACCGATTTCTCAGAAGCGACCCGGATTTCAGCCGGATTCGGGGCCGATTCGGACAGCCGGATTCGGGACAGCCGGATTCGGGACAGCCGGATTCGGGACAGCCGGATTCGGGATCGGGGCAGGATTCGGAATTCGGATACAGCCGGATTCGGGCAGCCGATTCGGACAGCCGGATTCGGGACAGCCGGCTGCCAAATGGCCCGACGATCGCAAGCCGACGATCCGACCCTCAGCCTAGGCCTCAATTTTCACATTATTTACGCGTCTCTCGGCACGGGGGGAAGGACGGGGGGTGGGGAGGAGAGGGAGGGGAGGGAAGGGGGGGAAGAGGGGGAGAGGAGGGGAGGGAGGGGAGGGAGAGGGAGGGCGAGGGAGGAGGAGAGGAGGGAAGGGGAGAGGGAGGGGGAGGGAGGGGGAAGAGGATAAGGAGGAGAGAGAGGGGGAGGAGGGAAGGAGGGAGGGGAAGAGGAAGAGAGGTAGAGAGAAAGAAAGAAAAAAGGGACAGGGAACGGAGGGAGGGGCGAGGGAGGGAGATAGGGGAGGAGAGACTCGGGTGATGACTTAATTCCCGATGATGACGTCATGGGTGATGATTACCGCCCGGGATAATGACTGTGTGTCGGTGTATAGTGACACTCCGATGGTGACGCTTCGATGGTGACACGGAGGCTGAGGCGATGTTTAGGGATGCAATTTTTTTTCCTTTTTTTCTTTTTATCTAACAACAATAGAGGAATTAGTACCATCGCGAGGTAGGATTCTGTTCATTAATCTTTCTTTCCTGGATTAT